TGTGACCTATGAACGTTAGGGACTTGTTAAGATATGTAACTGTTCTTGAATCTTGGCATTCGTCATATGGCTTGTGCGCATATTCAATGAGAATCTTCTCACCAGGCCTTGCAATCGTTATGGCGTGTCTGATCGTTCGACAAGGACGATTTCTATAACCACACGATGGAAAATCTGCGCCATTTTGACTGACGAACAATGATTTTGAAAGTACACTTTGACAAGCTAAAGAAGGAAATTCGACTATAAACGCTCTATCTCATCATTTGTTCTTGTAAGAACTCTTTAGGAAATTGCTAAATGAAATTTGACAGTCTATTTTTACTTATTCGAAAAAACTTTGTTTTATGAAAGTTGATATGATTTAAGTTGAAACCAAGTATTTGTTTGCGTAGAGACAAGTCTCATGCAAACACGAGTTACGTATTAAAATATCATTGAACAAAGAATCTAAAATGTCCATTTGCTGTTTTAGCATCAATCTCATCATTTGTTCTTGTAAGAACTCTTTAGGAAATTGCTAAATGAAATTTGACAGTGTATTTTTACTCATTCGAAAAAACTTTGTTTTGTAAGAAGGTGGTTCGATATTTTGGAACGATATTTTGGGTGCTTCCGGCGTGCGGAACCACGATGGGGAGACAGGTTAGAAGTGTAGAGGGCGTACTGTGACCGTTTGATGAATGTAGAGAATGAGTGGAATGGAGAAGTTGAAGCGGATGAAGTTTTGGGGCCGTGGGAAACAGTGACTGTTGATGAGGTGGCGGCGGCTCTGCGCAAGATGAAGAAAGGAAAGGCGACGGGACCGAGTGAAGTGGGTAGCGAAATGTTGGACAATGAACTATGCGTGAGAGAGTTGTGTAATGTAGCGAACGAGGTTTTGAGGGGCTTAAAGATGCCGAGTACATGGAGAAAGAGTCTAGTGGTGCCGCTGCAAAGTGAAAGGAGGACGGTATGGGGAATTACAGGACTATTAAGCTGATGGAGCATGCGTTGAACATAGTAGAGAGTGTTTGAAAGAAGGTTGAGGAAGTTGTTCGGATGGGGAAGAGCAGTATGGATTCATACCGTGGAGAGGAACGACGGATGCGTGTTTTGTGTTGAGGCAGCTGCAGGAGAAATTTTTGGAGAAGGACAGAGAATTGTATATGGTGTTTGTAGATTTGGAGAAGGCGTTTGATAGAGTTCCGAGAAAGGTGATCGAGTACGCGCTGCGTAAGAAAGGTGTGACAGAAAATATGGTTCGGGCAGTTATGGAGACTTATGAAGATGTAGAGGCGGTGGTTACGGAGGAAGGTGTTAGATCTGGTATTTTTGAGGTAAAAGTTGGTGTTCATCAAGGTTCAGTCTTGTCGCCGTTACTGTTTGCTTGTGTGATGGATGTACTGACAGAGGAAGTGAGAAGAAAAGAAGGATGCTGGTCTTTGTTGTATGCAGATGACATTGTCTTGGTGGCGGAATCGAAGCAGAAAGTCCTGGAATGGTACCGAGAATGGAAAACGGCAATAGAAGTCAAGGGACTGAAAGTGAATGAGGCAAAGACGAAGGGCATGAGATGCTCGAGGCAGGTGGAGGTGGAAGTGATGAAATGGAATGACATGGAAAGAGTGGAGGATTGAATGGTGGAAATGGATGGAAGGAAGGATGAATGGAATGGAGTGGAAGGACAAGGAAAATGATTGTGGAGGAAACAGTGGAGAATGGAAAGTGGGAAAACGGAAGCAGAAGGTTGAAAGGAAAATAGCAGAGTAGGGCGGAGAAGGAAGGTGTCGACGGAAAGGAGAATGCTTAGGATGATGTGTGGTGTAACGTTGATGGATAGGATTCGAAGTGAAGAGATTAGAAAGAGTTGGTGTTGAGTGTATCGAGAATTGGGTAAGGCGCCAGCGTTTGAGGTGGTTTGGGCATGTGGAAAGGAGGGAAGAAAGTGCTGAAATTCGTAGAACGTTGCATATGAATGTTGATGGAGTCCGCAAACGAGGTAGACCGAGAAAGAGATGGATGGATGCTGTGAACAGTGATATGAAGGAGATATGGCGAGATAGAGAGTTTGGCGTAGAATTCATGGACACAATGGCGATTAATGGTATACAAATGGTTTGTTTGTTTGGAAAGGTAAAGGGAAATTCTAGGGGGGACTATGTGTGGGAAGGACGGTTACTTTCGAGAATGAGCGCCAGTTTTAATTCACTGGGATGATTACGTTGTGGTCAAGGCAAAAGAAACTGCTTAGTTAGGGTTGATGTATTTTAGCTACGAAGTAATTGTTTTATTACTGAGTGTAATGAAATATGTTTAAGTTAGTCACGGTTGAAGCATCGAGCGCCGTTTTGTGAAAGTTGATATGATTTAAGTTGAAACCAAGTATTTGTTTGTGTAGAGACAAGTCTCATGCAAACACGAGTTACGTATTAAAAAATCATTGAATAAAGAATCTAAAATGTCCGTTTGCTGTTTTTGCATCAACTGTGGCGTCATCAACATTATTTCAAATCATAGTAACTTCAAGACAAATGAACTTCGGGACAATTCGAGTGAATTTCTACCGAAAAGTGTTCACTTGTTCGTGATGATTTAAATTCCAAAACTTACCCAGATCGAATACACTGAAGCAGAACATGACAGAAAACCTCCAACTCATAGCCATTTTTGCGAAAAACTTTTCAAACGAAGAGAATGATGAAGTAAAAACGTAGAAACGATGGACGTGGAATGAAGTGGGAATCCTTGCATTGGTCTTATATTAAATAAATCTGTGCGGGCAGCAAACGTCGGTTTAATATCAATAATCATGTCTTGAAATGACAGGTGTTAGTTTACACGGGGTTGGTGGGGCGAACGCTTCTACTTCCTCCTTTAGTTTCTCTTTTTTTTTCAATCGTATTTTTGCCCGACTTTTGAGTATGAAAACATGCGCTTAAGTTGTGTAATCAATGTCTTCAACTAATTTTGCAGGGATGCAATGCACTTTTATGTTCTGTTTATATATTTTAGACTCTTGAGAATGACTGTTGTTGTTGGTGTTGACTGACGTTTCGACATCCTTAGATGAAGATGACTCCCGCTAAGGTTGTCGAAACTTTAGTCATTATTCAACAACAAGGGTCCTTCTCAGGACTCTACTAACCTGGACGATCTACATCCACAAACAAGTAGCTATACCCCCCGGTTCAAACCATGTACTATATATTTTAGACTCTTGGATTAAGTGCGACGACGATAAAATAACGCACATTACTGAAGAAGATGTTTTGAAATCATCCGGGGGAGGTAAGATCATCTTCTGCCTAAGTTTTAATGGTGATTGTCATTGTGTTAGGTATTTGCTGCTGAAGTTTTAGTTGAATTTAGAGGAAGGCTTCTTTGAAAATTTTATCAATGCTTTATGATCATGTTTTTGCTCCTTTTTGTGTTTGGGTTAGAGCCTCTCAATGATATTGCAATTTTTATATATATTGCAATCAATATCGTATCACAATGTCTAAACATTCTTTCAAATATAATGTTACCTTTCTTCATGCCGACTAAAACTTTTCAGCTAGGAAAAGACTTATTTTGCGTGGGTTTCATCGGCAATTGAGACGTTGAAACGAAAGCGAAACAAACTCTCGAGCATGTGCAACCCTCGACCTTCGGTCTCGGGCTTGCACTGATCTTCTCTCGAGTTCTCCCAAAGGTCTCCTCGGTTTTCATAAGCCTGTGTAAACACAGTAAAAATCTTTTATTTCTTAAATAATTTTAATCTAGTCTATTTTAATACATCATTTGCTCATCATTGGAGCACATTGAACATTCCATTACACGCTTTGACTTATCAATAGTCATTTAGAAAATTCATTAGCGCAAAAGAATAATCAAGAGCACTATTCGAAAATCAATATTTATTTATACCGCATAACTATAGGGAATATTCAAGTAGCATTAACGTGCATTCCATAAAATCAAATAAACATTTATATACTTTGCACGAAAGACGTCTTTCCCAACAGAAATAGTCTATCGCACATAGTCTTCTACAATTGCAACACCCCACTTCTATGTCATAGAAAATAGCTTTGATTTTATTTGAATGTCTGCTTTATTTTAATGATCCTTGGTTAAGGCTGTTTCTTCTTTAGGTGACTGGCATTGTGCATATGTGTTGCTATACGGGCCGAGAAGAATAGAAATCATTAAAGAATCTTCGTGATCACGTGATCTTAAGAAGAAGTGGATTTTGTACCTTTAAAGAATGCGGTATTGTGCCGTTATGTCTATGGGTTGATATCATCTTAAAATCTCCTGTTGAGTAATTTGTTTCAAATCAACACTTCAGTATTTTCTTCAGTGTCATCGAGACAGTTAAGTTTATACGCTAGCCAATTGACAATTGTCAAAAAAGATTTGTATTTTAAAAATTTGATTATTTGTACTTGGAGAAATTACGTTTTTTGATTTTTTACAAATTCATTTTGATGAAGGCATGCAAATAGTAACTTATTTTTTTTAAATGGCGAACGACAAAGTTTTGCTTTTACTTTTGCTTTTCTTGTCTTTCAAAAACAGGTAAGCAATTCTTTTATCATTTAGTGTTTACAAATACATATGTTGTATGTTTAAAGTTTTCATTCGTTGATACTCTCTCAAACACAAAGATTTTGTAAAAATCACGGAATGTTGGATATAGAAACTTGACTATGAGCAATTGTAAACCATGTGTTAAATCGTTTGTTATCCATCTCAGCTCTCATCTATATAGACATCATACATTAGTATCCTTGTATATCTTTTATTATCCATATAGATCGGTATATATCTCTATAAATATAATTTACTATCTATATATATCAGTATATATCTCTATAAATATAATTTACTATCCACATATATATCAGTATATATCTCTATAAATATAATTTACTATCCATATATATATCAGTATATATCTCCATAAATATAATTTACTATCCATATATACATCAGTATATATCTTCATAAATATTATTTACTATCCATATATATCAGTATACATCTCTATAAACATTATTTACTTTACCAGGTTTTCTAACATTTTCACGCACTTCAATAAGTGTATTTCCAGCCGGATTATACAAAGCAACCACGTACAAATCGTGAATAAGTAAACCATTTCTCTCTGCGCAACCAATTCCTAGCTGTTTGCTCTTCTTCCAGATGACTTGTGTAAAAGGTGATGTGTCCTTGCTAATTTGGGGCGATGAAAAGCTGAAATAACGTCCTTCATTGTACCATCGCTTGATGGCCTCTTGCACACCATAGTTGCAACGGTAGGGTACGTTGGACAGTTTAATGGTGTTTTCGCCGTATGTTCCATAATTTGCAACATTTGACCTTTTCTTCAGTTTATTACTAGAGGTATTTAGTTCCAGGATTTCATCTCGTATTAGGGTATTTTTGTCGGCTAGTTGGCGGGACATGTTTTTAGCAACTGCAGCAAGTGCATTGAGCTCTTAACAATATGGCGGCGGTAGAAGTTCAAATGGACTTGCTCGAAATAAGCCGGATCATACGAGATATAACAGATATACATGCGATTAAATTGATAAAAGAAGAAGCCCTTTTGATGTTTGATGGTCAACGATTAAAGTGGACAGGTGACCTGACATCTTTGCGAAATTTTGTCGAAAACACCGTCGGATTGGTGGGCATTTGGAAATCGCCCGGAGGTAAATCAAAAAAGTTTGTTAGCAGCGATCTAGATTTGATTATAACTTGGTACCCGGGCAAGCTAAGTACAATGTCTTTTAATGGAAAGGACGGAGAATCATTTAAGAATTTGTTGATAAGCGTCTTGGAGTCCTCAAGCGCTAACTTGTCTGAAGTACAAGATAAGATTAACACCGATATTGAAAATAAGCATGAATCTGCTGAGCAAACTATACGTGAAAGCTGTGAGACACGGGGCGAACTTGCTAAATCTGAAACGCGAAATTTGCCTGTATCGGCTTTTGACCAGTCGACAATCGAGGAGTTACAGGACTTTATTGATAGTTCCTTTCAAAAACTTTCCTCACAAACAAATAAAGACGATTTAACGGAATCTCTTATCGGCGCAACTCCATGTCGAGCCGGAGACGCTGAAACATCCTTAGAGGACAAGTTTGATGAGTTTAAAAATCAAATTGAATTAACGGTGTTTAAAATGGTGGCAAAAATTTCAGAACAAAAGCAAGTCATACTTAGAAACAAGCAAGATATATGCAAATTGACAACAGAAAATTTGAATCTGAAGTCACGCTTAACAAAGATGGAAAGTGAAGTGCTTGTTTTGTCACATGCCACGCAAACTATTAAACCAAAAATTCCTTTAATTGACGAAACGACTACATCGCAAAACAATGTGCCCTTAATTTGTAATGCAAAACCTGCTAATCTCGAAACAAGCGTAGGCGTGCAGGACTCAGTAAAATCCCCTGCAGCAGGTCAAGGCTGCAAGAGTAGAAAAACGACTCAAGTTCAAATTGATAAACAGCTTATTGAGTATCGACGAAAGCAACAAAGCAAATATCAGAAAGATTTCCCTAGTAATGAATGCTTAAATCAACTTGAGTCCCAATTACATGAATATCAATGCAAGCAGCGGAATAATTATCAAAGCTGTAAAGTCAGCGAAACGATTAACACTCAAAACCAGCAGGCGCAAAGAAATGAAATTCCTAGCAACGAACTTGTCTCTAAGAATACCGAGCATCAACGAAAACATCAGAGCAACTTTAATTCTGAAGTAGATAAAGACTTAAAAATCACACGAAGTGATAGAGTAATGAAGCGAGTACATTCGACCGCACCAGGCCATAAACAAACCCATTTTTGGCATCGTCAGTCGTTCCAACGACGCCCTTATCACCAATAATTCCATCAACAAGTTCCTTTGCAGAATCGTCAGTTGACTTCTTGGCATCTTCAGCATCGTTATTCCCATCAACAGAAATTACCAATGGAATTCAGCCTGACGAAAGAATTCAGAGAGGAACAACAAAAGTCTTGGAGAGAATACCTGTGCTATGTAAAAAGGCGACAGCCAACAACACCAACACGATCAATTTATAGTGAAAGACATTTTTAAAGAAAAGAAGATAGTACATTAGAGTGTTGTTTGTCTATCACACAATCGCTTGAGTTCGTTCGAACAATACCTACACTAGTAAGATCGTCTCTTAATCCAAGCGATCATTATAACTTACGTTCCCGTTGCAGACCGTCTGGTCATAACAAAAGCAATTGTATTATTATTCCAAGAGTATCCTTTAAACGTTGTGGATCACCAAATGTATTTGTACCATCCATAATGTTGTCTAATATCATGTCGCTGGCCCCAAAAATCGATGAATTACATGCGTACATTGCCAGTTCAAGTGTGGATATTCTATGCATCGTGGAAACTTGGTTGCAAAGTCATATTGATGATAACATTGTTTCGCTACCCGGATATAATTTAATTAGACGCGATAGACGTGAACGCATTCATGGTGGTGTTTGCGTCTATATTCGAAATACAATTAACTTTAGCATCCTGCAAGACCTTTTAACAAATGAGTTCGAAGCATTATGGTTAGATCTAAGACTGACCCGCTTACCAAGAGGTGTGTCCAATATTATTTTATGTAATTTGTACCACCCACCGGGGGGCGAATGATGAGGCTATGATCAATTATCTTTTTGAATCACTACAAACAGTTGAAACAAAATTTCCAAATTGTGGGATAATTATCTCGGGCGATTTTAACAAATTGAACGTTCGTCTGCTAAAGAATAGTTTCCAATTGCGTCAGATCGTAAATTTTCCTACTCGTGACAATAATAAGCTGAATTTGATTTTAACAAATTTGAAAGAATTTTACGATTCTCCAATTAAACGTCCTCCCTTTGGACTATCCGATCATGTCACCGTAGAAGTGCAACAATTAAAAAGATCTGAAAACTCTGGGACTAAAGTAGTGGTAATGTCAAGGGATTTGCGACCATCCAAACGTTCAGCCTTTGGTAAATATTCAGAAGAGGTCAATGTCGAACAGTGGGTAGGAAGAAATAGTGACGACAAAATGAGAAATAGTGATGACAAAATGAAAATGTTAGAGCTCATCATTAACTTTGGTCTTGATTTCCTACTCCCCACAAAAAAGAAGGTGCTGATCACTAATGAGCCTCCTTGGATGACCAAATCGCTAAAACAACTGATCCGCCGAAGGGAAAAAGCTTTTGCACAAAAAGACCTTGACTCTTTCAAGAAATTAAGAAACCAAGTAAACCGAGAAAGAAAATCTTGTCGGAAACGTTTTTACCAAAACAAAGTAGAGCATTTAAAATCGTGTTCATCTGCGAGTTGGTGGAAGGAAATCAAAAAGTTAAGTGGTATTTCACCGTCGGTTTCTTCACAGGAAGATATGATGTCAACCTTGCAAAATATTGATAATGCACTAACACCCTCTGATCATTTTCCTGAGCAACTTGCAAACATGATCAACGAATCCTTTCTAACACCCATGAAAGATTTTAACCCACTGCCCCAACATTTATGCTTTGATAATGAGAATGATGATTTCCCGAGGTTATTACCTGTCACTGAGTTTACTGCTTTCAAGATGTTGTCAGCTCTTAACGCAAGGAAAGCAACTGGCCCAGACGGTATTCCCGCCTGGGTTCTAAAAGAGAATGCTGATTTATTGGCCGCTCCCGTGGCAGATATTATAAACAGCTCCTTTAAAGAGGCCCGGTTACCAGAATCATGGAAAAAAGCAAATATTACACCGATTCCAAAGCAGAAACCTGTACGAGATATTAATAAACACTTAAGGCCTATATCGCTTACTGCGATTGTATCAAAAGTAGCCGAGGAGTTTGTTGTGGAAAATTATGTCAAGCCAGCTGTACTTAAAAAGATAGACTCTAATCAGTATGGGGCAATTCCAAATTCAAGCACAACTATAGCTTTACTTAGTATGTTACAGTCGTGGAATAAAGCAACTGATGGTAACGGGGCGGCCGTGCGTGTGTTGTTATTGGATTTCAAGAAAGCTTTTGATCTGATTGATCATAACTTATTGGTTGAAAACTACGTTCATTTGATATACCGAAATGGGTTCTACACTGGATTATGGATTTCCTCTCCTTCAGGAAACAAAGAGTAAAGCTGAAATTCGATTGCTTTTCAGAGTGGGAACTCGTACCTGCAGGCGTTCCGCAGGGCACAAAATTGGGGCCTTGGCTATTTTGATAATGATTAACGATCTCAAGTTACCAAATAATGAAATGTGGAAATTCGTGGACGATACCACTGTTAGTGAAGTAATTGAGAAAGATCAAACAAGTAACTTACAAAACCAAATGGACACATTAGCGAACAGCATCTCGCGTGATAAGTTCCAGTTAAATGAAACCAAATGTAAAGAGATGCGAATTTGTTTTGGATCTAATACCAATGACCTTCAACCAATTACCATCAATAACATTACACTGGATATTGTCCAACACGCGAAAGTTTTGGGATTGGTTATAGCCAGTAACCTTAAGTGGAACATCCACGTAAATGAAATAATTAAGAAATGCCGTAAACGCCTCTATTATCTTATTCAACTAAAACGAGCAAATATCGAAGTCAAGGAATTGCTCCAATTTTACAAAACGTGTATAAGACCTGTCTTGGAGTATGCTTGCCCAGTGTTCCACAATAGTCTGACATTGTATCTGTCAGATGACCTAGAGTCAGTCCAAAAGCGAGCATTAAAAATAATCCTGCCTCATCAAGAATATGAAAACGCTCTGCAGTTTACTAATTTACAACGCCTTAGCGAAAGGAGGAATGATATAACAACAGCGTTGTTTCAGAAGATAGTAGCAGATTCCTCACATAAGCTTCATGACCTTTTGCCTCCTCGTTTAGAACGTTCAACTATGGAACTTAGGACTCAATCTTCATTCAATACTAACTTTAATACCAAACGTTTTAGAAATAGTTTTATAACTTTTAACTCATTGAAGATGTAATTTAGTTAATTTATTTATGTATGTATTATATGTAATCTTAAACGTATTTCAGCAATATGGCTGCCAGTTTTTAAGAAATAAATCATCTATCTATCTATCTATCTATTGGACCACGTCAAAGGTGGTGAATGATGGAGTAAACGTAGTGCGTTGTGAAGCTGTAGAGCCTTGTTCTCCCATTCTGTACTGTCTGAATTTGTAAAGATATATTATAAATTGTTATTCTATGGCTGTATGCTTTACTATAAACCTTTAATTACCTTAAGACATCGTTTTATTCTTCAATATAAACCTTTAATTACCTTAAGACACCGTTTTATCGTTCACTATAAACTTCTAATTACCTTAAGACACCGTCTTATCGTTCACTATAAACTTCTAATTACCTTAAGACACCGTTTTATCGTTTACTGTAAACTTCTAATTACCTAAAGACACCGTTTTATCGTTCGCTGTAAACTTCTAATTACCTTAAGTCACCGTTTTATCGTTCACTGGAAACTTCTAATTACCTTAAGACACCGTCTTATCGTTCACAATAAACTTCTAATTACCTTAAGACACATTTTTATCGTTCACTATAAGCTTCTAATTACCTTAAGACACATTTTTATCGTTCGCTATAAACTTCTAATTACCTAATTATGAGTACTTAAGGATACACTATACACATGAATACTTGAGGATACACTATACACATGACTACTTGAGGATGCTTAATGTACATAATCTCGTTGCTCAGATACTTGGAGATGAATGTATGTCAGGGGTTTGTTTTTTGCTACCTTTCAAATGTGGGATCATTAAAAGGGTGAGGTGGGGTAAAATAGGTGTGGAGCTGTTGAAGTGGGTACTCGAGGGTACTTGAGGGTACTCTAGTGTACTTGAAGATTTTAATTATGGTGTGTCTATGTTGTGATGTATACGAATTAGAAAATATTTTTGTCTGATCGAATTTTTTTTAACATATGTTATTTGTGCATTTGCGTATTTAGAAAGCTAAGCTTGAGTGAAAGAAATCTGGTGTTAATAAAATGGATGTCGATTCTGACGTAAAGGAATACCAACCATACTCGTTTTCTGATGGTAAGTTACTATAGAATTGGATTTGATAGTTAAGATTAAGAAACTATCGATTGCATGAAGTAGATTCGATTTATTAGGTTTTATTTAAATGTTTTGGAACACAGCCAGTAATTCGCAGTTCATAAAATCATGACGCAAACTGCTTGAAATTTTTGAAATATCTTTTAAAACAAAGATCAAAGAATAATTTGTCTGTTAAATTGTCGGCAGAACGGCCGAATTTTGTGATTCAAGAATACTTTCTGTCATTTCCTCCTTTCAAAAATACATTTAACATATAATGGTTGCAAGACTTGGCAAAAGATTAAAGACGAAATGAAGCGCGCCTCTTTTTAACAAGCAAACACGTTTGTATTTCCAGTCTTATTGGGCTCTCCTAAAGGTTAACATCAAATCTGTTAGTAAAATTATGTCCTTTTGATTGCCCATGATGCAACATTGTGTCGGTCTGGCGTCATCACTTCTGCTTCAATAATGGCTTTGCCACTTTGCCAAAGATTAAGTATGTAACGAAGCGTGTCTATTTAACAAGCGAACGTATTTTATATATTTACAATCTTCTTGCACTGGCATCAAGGTTGACAAAATCTACTTCAGTACACATTTTGTGTAAAACCTTGATTCGTGGCGTAAAAAAGCATTAACGTGGAGCGTTGCCCTCTTTTCGAGGTAAATAATCTAACCGCGTATTGTTGTTATTTCGTTGTGCGCGCAATAAATCGATTATCACAACAATTTGGACACTGTTGACTTCATTTTGGAGAAGTGTTTTGGATAAAGTGAGGAAAATCGTTATTTCCTTTTCAACACTCACTGATAGCGTTTTGAGAATGTTCCATATAAAGGCCTTTAAAATATACGAGTTGAAATCGTTGGGGAGAAGATTATTCACTGCATCGTTTGTTTTCTGAATGAAGTGCTCTCCTGGACGAAGAATTATCTGTACGTTATTGATCTTTTGAAACGTTAGTTTTTTGGCACTCCAAAAAGTGAAACTTTCGGATCACATTGCAATTATCTCGCGTTGGCACGCGTAGACTCACAGAAAACGCTTAACAGCATTTCTGATCTCGTTTTGCGCTATGATCGAAGTATTAGTTGGCATTATTTTGATATATTTTTTCTGGCGACTTCTCTTTTTCTATTGGTCACATTTAACGTCACGTGATCTGCCTCCTGGTCCATTTCCACTTCCCTTTCTGGGAAACTTAAATCTGATTGGTACGACCGTTCACATTGATTTGGCAAAGCTTGCTAAGAAATATGGCGATCTAATGACAATCTACTTCGGAAGCGAGCGTGCGCTTGTCGTGAGAAGCTCGGAAATGGCTCGGGAGGTACTTGTGAATCAATCATTTGTTTTTGGTGGACGACCGTTGAACCTACCTTACGCGGCCATTTTGTTTAGTCACGATGGTAAGAATATCGCTTTTTCGAAAGAAATTTCTCAGCGTTGGAAGAAACAACGTAAAATATTTTATGCTGCTTACAGGACGTTTGGTAATAGTCTTGAAAATAAGGCTTATGACGTCATAAAGGATCTTTTGGCTGACCTGGTAGAAAAAACGGTCACTCCAAGAAACATTCCGCAAGATATATTTCATTGTGTTGCTAACATCATTTGTGCCATAACATTTGGGTTCAAATACGACAAAGATGACCCAGAATTCCATGCTCTCATGAACACTTTTAATGATGTGCATGTTTTTTGATGTGCATGTTTTTTGTATGTTGCCCCTGGCAACCTCATTGATGCCATCCCGTTGCTAAGGAGATTGCCTTTGAAGAGCGTGATTAAACTTAAGTCGGCCACTAATCTTTTGGACACGATTGTTTTGCGAATATACGGGGAGCACGAAACCGCAAATCCAGTGGAAGACTACGATTTGACGCATGCATTTCAAAAGCAATCAGATGACATCATGGATAGTAAGAATAATGACGTCATTTTAACGAAGGAAGAAATAACTTGTATGATAAAAGATATTTTTCTAGCGGGAATTGAAACCTCGACGTCAGTGATCACGTGGGGGCTGTATTTCTTGGCTTTTCATTCAGATATACAAGATCAGATTTACGAAGAGATGATGCAAGTTTTAGGCCCCGATTCTCCCCGACATTTTCCGACCGTCATCGACTACCTTTGCTCTGGGCAAGCATCACAGAAACGTTAAGATATGGGTCTATTGTACCTTTACTTCTACCCCATAGGGCAACATCCGATGCAAAAATTAACGGTTTTCACATTCCTAAAGACACGACTGTAATCGTAAATGCCTTTGCTATTCATAATGACGCAAGAACTTGGCATGACCCGCATGTCTTTAGGCCAGCCCGATTTTTGAATATCTGTGGAAATTATTCGACACCACCGCCTTACTCGACGCTTCCATTCTCGGCAGGCAGTCGCGTTTGTGTCGGAGATACTCTCGCGAAGATGGTTGTGTTCGATGTCATTGCCCGGATATTATATAGTTACCTTATGACATTGGTAAACATGAAGTATCAGAGAGTGGAAGCTGACATGACGAATACAGCTTCTATTCTTAAGCCGAAACATTTGCAAATAGCTCTTGAAAAACGTTGTGTCTAAACATGAAGTATCAGAGAGTGGAAGCTGACATGACGAATACAGCTTCAATTCTTTAGCCGAAACATTTGCAAACAGCTCTTGAAAAATGTTGTGTCGTAAAAACTGACGCAGTTGATGAAACGATAAAATGTCACTTTTACTTTTTTACTTTTGGTTTAATGACCAGTAGATTCATACGTTAAAATCTTTCGTACTTAATTTTGTACATTATCTTGATATAATCTTTTTCTGATATATTTAAAACAATAGTATTGTTCTTTAAATGCATAAATTTCTTTCGAATTACAAAAATTATAAGCAGTGCTCAATTTGTCTTCTGTCACCGTGCATCAAGTACATTACCCCTTCTTATCCTTGCATGTAGTAGATTACCCTCCTTATCCATGCATGAAGTGCATTACCCCCTCTTATCCATGCAAGAATTACATTACCCATTTCATCCATGCGTGTAGTAGATTATCCTCCTCGTCCATGCATGAATTACATTACCCATGCTATTCATGTATGAAGTACCGGATCCCTCGTTATCCATGCATGAACCTTTCTCATCTTTGTTTGATTTTCAGAAATTGGCTCTAATAACAGTGGTTTTTACCAGTTGCAAGCTGTTCTGACTCATCAAGGACGATCATCGTCATCTGGTCATTATATTGCATGGATCAAAGGGTGTAATAGGGAGTAAAGTCTTATATCATTGGACTATAGTTTCTTTCTTCAACCCCATCTGACCTTAGGTACTAAACATATTGCATCGGGGTGATAAACGCCTCGATTCAAACGGTTAAGCACAAAAGATTCGCTAGCTTCGCTTTTGTTTTTATATTGTCAACATATGTCTCGTTGCTGCGAGCTTTTTTCGTAAAGGTCAAGTCCAACGTTACATCAATTTCCTGTGCGTTTTATTTTTCTAAACAAAACCGTTGCAAAACATTTTAATCTATTCGAGATCTTTGTAACAAGTGAAAGAACAACTGCCATTAATATGATAAATATCGGTAAAAGTATTATTATATCTCGTATTGCATCCAACGCGAGGAGTTTCTCCGCATTATAAGAACCGTTACCTTCTTCATGATAAAGAGTCTTGACCAAGGTAATCCCGCATAAAATAACGTGTATAGCTAAAAAGATAGACTCCACGATATTATCGCGTTTGGTCTGAAAGGGGAACACCAGCATGTGACTTATCAAAATCGCCACGCAGATCGTTAAAGCGACCAGCATTCGTATTTTAACATCGTAGAAAAAAGTCAGCACGACAATTAAAACCAGTCTACGAAAGATGAGAAATCCTTCCCACGGTATGCGCGAAGTTGTGGAACATTCATCGGCTTTATAAGGTCTGAATGGACCCTGTAAGACATGAAGTATCCTAGAATTACTGTTCGTACTCTTTGCGGTATTACACTCGATGTTTGTTTCTTCATTGTTCGTGTTTATCTCACATATATCGTGCAATTTATGGCCGTTGTTATGTTGTCCCATTCTCCTGAAACCGCGTATCCTTGTTAATAGATACAGCCAATAGCAGCAGAAGGGTAGAGGGAAGAGGCAAGCCATACAGAAGTTCTTGAAGGTGATCTTTTCAAGTCGTAGAAAGTGCGATCCGAGAACAGGAGCAAGACAAAACGGCAGTATGGATGTTATGAAATATGCCAGGAAAATATATTGATATAGCTGATAACATATAACATTGCCGTTAATGTGGAGAACTTGTTCATCATCCAATGGAACACAATGCAGCAAGGATAAACAGAGTTGAGTGGATGATGCGTACATAAGGAGGGAGATGAGCGTATATGCTGAAGCAATGCGCGCCTCGAAACTTTGGTCTTTTCCGTCGTCTCTTGCATCGGTCTCGATGGAAAACGGGATGTCTCGTGACGTGTAAGATTTAAAGCGTTTACAGACGAAATTCTTTAAAATTGTTGCCGTGAACAGCACGGCAAGAAATGTGAGAAGGACTTAGCCCAGCGAATGAAGGATTGTTTGTTTTGTGACGTCATTAAGGTCACGAATTGGACATTCCAGGAATGGAAATGATGATGAAGTTGAAAATTTCTCCGATCTTATTACGTACTTTCGTCATCGCAGTTTGACGGGATTCAAAATTAGCTGGACTCACCAAGAAACGGCTGATTTGGTAATAGTAGAATACGATCTTCAACATTCCGCTGTTGGTTTCTTTCGAGGAAGTTAAAAAAATTCGCCTGACAAGTCGAATTATTTCTTTATGGTAGAGAAAAAACACTAAATAAACAATACAGTAGCTGAGGCCAAAGAGGATAACATCATAATGACCGCAGTTAGCGTTTGGAATGCATGCTGCAGAAAACAACGATACCGACATGCCATGCGGGCATTCCCCGCAAATTTTACCTTGTCTCTTTCCATGGCAATTACTGTATGTGACGCAGTCATTGCCTTGGCAACAGTAACCGTGTGGGCATCGTATGAAGCGGACTGATTGGTTGACTTAATATACCCAGTAGTTTGGCTTTGCTGTCAGGCGACCATTGTAACATTGACCGCCATTCGCGCAGTCCTGACAATTGATACTGTTGGTGATATTGTTATAAAGTATTGCACGACTTACCGAATAGGTATTCCGCTGACATGGTTTACATTTTACCATGAACTCGTTGCATTCAACGTATGCCTTATTTTTGACCTCGTAGCAATACATCTTTTTGGACATCACATATCCGTAGGGACAAAGGATCTTCAGCTTGTCCTGAAGACGGAAACGACGTACATTATCGGGCTTCGTGAAAATGTACGCGATGACGTTTAGTTCATGTTGAGTCGCGGTGATATTAAACATGTTGTTTTTTTGAAACACCACGAAACCACGAAGTTCTTTTTTTGTGGGAAGATTAGCGTCGAGGACGATGCAGGATTCGAGTTCTCGAAATAACAGTCTATAAACATAACGGCAACACTGTATGAAGCGACGCCAATGACAGCATCGTTGGCTCATTTCCGCCATAGTTATCGATAAACGTGCATTTTGTGAACAGAAATTTTCCAGGATTTAAATGGAGATTGTAAAAACGACTTGAGCGATATTTATGCGTGTTTATGAAAGTGTTGTTGACGAAACGTACAGCTTTGCCTCGAAGGCCACCACGCGAAAGATCAAAATGTACAAAACGGATGATGTGTTTCAAATAACGAATTAGAAACAACAACATCAAAGATATCTACTTTTGCAGCGGCTCAAGTCGAAGTATTGTTCCTGTGCAACGGTTGTCTTTAGTGTAGGTTATTTAGATGAATAAGCGCTTGTTTTCGTTTCTTTGCGAACTTGTTCCCCTTGATATAAAGCGTATTTCCTGTTTTAGTTCCAGTGCATATTCCAAAATGATCTGTGAATTTGCTGCTTACATTTGACATTACTATAGACTGCCATTGGCAATATTTGTAGAAGCGATCCGCACATTTTCTTTGCTCGCCATGAAAATGACAGTTTGACACGAAAACGGTCGTATGTTGAACGTAGAGTGTCTTTTTCCATAAATGTTCGAAGGAGACAGGACTGGCGCGAAACGTACTATCGACAAGATGTGCTGTTAGATTTAGACAACTCATTGACGCCGATTTTACGTACGACCATAAAAGTACTCTTTGAGGATCGTGATGGAACAATCTTGAGCTGATTTTTGCTGCGATTGCTAATTGAAACCTAAATACCAGTTCATGAATAGTTAACAGGGATGAATACATGAGGTGTGAGAGCGGTTACACCCTCAGCTTTAAAATGATCGCTGAAAGACAATATTTGTTGGTTATGATTTGATTTTTATCTTGTGATGGTATTTTGAATAATTGAGCTTCTTTGCATTCAATTGTCATTATTTTGTCATATTGTCATTCTATTGTTAAACTCTGTTAAGTTGTAACTGTTATTGAACTTGGTATTCGTCATTTGGGGAAGTTGAATTTTCATGAAATTTTAGACGTTTTCTGAAATTTAACGTACTATAGAAGAATATGATTAAGCATAGAATTTTATTTCCTTTTAACTATAAGAGTGGAAAATCTGAAGAGTATTTGAAAACAATTTGAACATAACATCAAATTTTGGCTAAAGTAGTCAATATTTGAAATAGGATAATAGTTGTAATACTTTTATCTAAGTACATTAAATAAGAAATAAAGTTAAATTACAAACAAACAGTGGCGTAGCATGCTCAGTAATTTATTTAAATAAGTTGGGGAACGGATTTTCATTCATTCATAATTTTGGAGTCAATGGAATATATATGAATATGTACACACTGTCATCTCATTAATTTACCTGACGTAAGAAACAGGAGTTTTAGTGGATGGAGTTTACTTTGTTACCAACTATGTTAGTGTTAGTATAATGTTGCTGTTCTTGTTCTTTCCTGTTTTGCTTATTATCCCATTATAATATTCATTTTAAACTCATCCAAAGTTATCGAGTTAATTGAATTTTCTGATAATTTGATTGCTAGAGTGCTAGGAGCATTATGTTTGGCTGTAGACTAGAGATCAACGAAAAGAAATGGGTTTGAAGCTACCAGACAAGATTTTACAAAACAAGAAAATGCATAT